TGTGTGTTTGTGTGTTTGGGGGGGGTTATGTTTTGGTAGCTGGGATTATGTGTATATGAAGGGGGATGTCATTTTGATGGTTGAATTGTCAGTCTTTGTATTTATATCTATATAATGTACATTTCTTTACTTTCACTTTGAAACATTTGGTTAAAGTTTATACTCTTGTCTGACACGTTCTGTGATGTGTCGTCCACAGCTGCTGTCAGAAGCGGAGGACTGGAAGGAGAAGTAAGTGACCTCCATATTGTCCCACGTTGGGTCGCCAGTGTGTGCTTTTGTCTATATACACCTGTCTGTTGTCAGCTTCTGCATACACTTTTTTTGACTTACTGCGCCTTTCTTTTCAGATTTTCTAAAAACTGAGATGGGTGTTTGGTGGGTGATCTGGTGTGGGTTGCTCCTTCTTTCCTGTCAAACATCCATTGTCCTTATCTCACCTCCCTCTTTTTTTTTAGTATGTTACCTCTCTAGCAGTAACACCTATTTTCTTTGGCACTTATATGGCCTATTTATGTTGCAAGTTTTGTCAAACTTGTACTAAACCTAAAATGAAAAAAACTGAGAGTGCTTTGCATAAGGAATGGATTATTTGTGTCATAGTTCGTTTAAAATTATAAATTTCTACGTTAATGTGGTTCATATTTTGTTTTAGAGAAAGAAGTAGGTGTGAGACAATAATGTAACAACTGGTAAGTCTTACTTCTTATTTTTCCTTCTGGTCTTTTCGTCGCCCTTTCCTTCTTTGTGGGTGATTGGCAGGTGTTCCTTCTTTCCTATCAAACACCATCGTCCTTCTCTCTCCTCCTCCTTTTTTATGTTTATTACCTCTTTTGCAACACCTCTAATCTTCGGCACTTATATGACCTTATTGTGTTGCAAGTGCCGTAAAACTGTTACTAAAACTAAACTTTCCTTCTTTTTTCTTTGATAGAAGGCCATTAAAATAGTGTCAATGTGCTTCTTTTTACATAAACAAATATTTTGGGAGTCTGCGGTTGTGGTGTTGATTGTTTGTAATTATTTTGTTTGTCTGTCTGTCTCAGGGTGAGCGACTTGAAAGAACAAGTGGAGCAGAGAGACGAAGAGTTCAAACAGATGCAGGAGAATGTGGCCTTCAAGGAGAAAGAAGTGGAGGTGAGGGATGCAGTGTGTATGTGGGGGAGGGGGATGTGTGTGTGTGTATATGTGTGTTTGTGAGGGAAGGTGTCCTATGTGTGTGTGTATGTGTACGTGTGTGTGTGTGTGTGTGTGTGTTTGTGAGGGAAGGTGTCCTATGTGTGTGTGTATGTGTACTTGTGTGTGTGTGTTTGTGTGTGTATGTGTGTGTTTGTGAGGGAAGGTGTCCTATGTGTGTGTGTATGTGTACTTGTGTGTGTGTGTGTGTATTTGTGCTTGTGTGTGGACATGTCTTTTAAGGACAAGATGATGGAGGTGAGAATGTTTCAAATCTCTTGCCTCTTTTTTCCCGCCTCGCATGCTGGGGATTTGGAGCTTTGGTTTTCATTTGAGGGGTCTTTTTAGTATGTGTATTTGTGTGTGTAGGTGGGTGTGTGTGGGTTGGTGGGTGGGTGTATGTGTGTGGCGTGGGCAACTGCATATGGTCCAGTAGTTGGTTGCGGGTGCTCTGGTGTGGTTTGCTCCTTTTTTCCTATCAAACATCTGTCGTCCTTATCTCTCCTTCTCTTTGTGTATGTTACTTTCTTGTAACACATAATCTATTCTTCGGCACTTATATGACCTTATTGTGTTGTAAGTGTCATAAAGCTCTTACTATGTAAAACTCTTACTGAAACTAAAAAAGCATATGGTCTAATGAGTGCACAGGTCAGATTTGTCTGTCTAATAATTAGAGTAATTATTTTAATTGAATCTAGTTGTTTTGCAATGAATTTGGCCTTAATTCAGAATACCTGGCCCTCTCTGTAACAGCTTTCTTATGTGCCTGGTAGCTTCCTGTAGTGAGAGCCCTATCTTCGAAATGACTCATATTACACCTTGTTGAACTTAAAATAATGACAAAACAAATTACCCTGAAATTGTAAATGTCAGTGTCAATAGCTATCTACACCTGTGCCTGTGGGTCAGTGGTTCGGCACATCACCGTCGGACGCAAAAGACAGGAGTTTGATTCTCAGATAGGGAGGATTTTTATCCAGTATCTGTCTACTGGGATGTTTTATCTGTCTGAGCCTGAGTTTGCCTTGACAGGCAGGGTTGAAGCAGCCTGCCTCCAAAATGACTTGAATAGTCTTGATGGGGATGTAAAACGCTTATAGTTCCATTTTAAAGAATATGTAACTATCTACAAAGGCCTAGCCTAGGCACGAGATCATGGATACCTTATGTACATCAAGTTTGTTGTCTCCCCCCCACC